TGTGTGTGTGTGTGTGTGTGTGTTCGAAGAGAGAAAGAAGAAAATTAAATTTGGACGAGGAGGGCGAGGAGGTTGAGGAGGAGTCGCGTTTCCCCGCGAGAAAGAGGAGTCAGGGGTTTCAGAGAGATTGTAGGAACGAGGGAAGAAGATTCGAGGACCGATCTACCGGCAATCCGGCTAAAAGTCGTCGACTTCAAATATCGTGTTCCTCGCGACGTAATCGTTACACTCAGGAAGAGTGGTTGCCTCATCCAGCTAAACGGCAAACGCCTCTACTTCCATTAACCCAGGGGGGAGGAATAAAAAATAAGGGGTAAAAAACGAAGGGAAGGAAAACGCGAAAAGCTCGATGGAAAATTCTTCGCGACGGATCTTCGGTGTATTTTGCGTTTATATTATTTCGAAACGATATAACGATTCGTTCACGGAATTAAAGAATACAGAGAAAGGGATTAATCGAAACGAAGTGATCGACGAGCGAGAATAGCGCAAGATGGAATACGCTTTTTCCCTCGATTTTCCACGACTACATTTTTCTGTCTTTCTTTCTCTTTCTCTTTTTTTTTTTTTTTTTTTTTTTTTTTTTCAACAGGAAAGAGAGTCGAATCGATCCATGTTAATAATCGTCGAGTGGTACGCAAGTACCGTGTCCCCAGTCAGATAATCACTGTACTTAAGGGGAGTGCTCGCTCCACCCGTGACCGGGTTCCCACAACCTCGCCGTCATTAAACGACCAGGCGAATCACGTCGCTCTGCCATGTGATCAACCGTTTTGGCAGGTGGTGCGTCCATGGGTTTTCTCATAAAATGGCCGACTATCCGCGCATCGATTACTTCCTATTCACAATTCCTATCCCTATATACGACGATGATGGCGAATTATCATCGAGTAGTCGATATTTTTTACTCTTTTCCCCTTTTTTTTTTTTTTTTTTCAATGAAAACAGATATATACGTTATCGTATCGATTTTAATCACGCATGGGGAGTAATTAAGTAGACCGGAATCGGGGC